GCGTATTGGTGAAATACTTTGTTGTGTAGTTGTTGTGTGTACAATTTCTTCATTTATGAAGTGTGATGGTGTCTGGATATCTTGTTGAGTAAGATTCCTAGTTCCATTGAGGTTTTCATTGTGTATAACTGTAGAGTTTAAACTATTATTTTGTGTATCGGGTAAAAATGTATTATAGTTTAATGGTGTCGCATCAATGGTTAATGGTATTACTTTTACATAATCTCTTATGTAAGATATTGTACTTATTGCTTGACTCGAGATTGTTTGTGGGAAGCTTATAAATGCGGGATGAGACCATTCGGGGTCCCAAACATAATCTGATTGTTCTGTGATAGCGGTATCATCGTTCGAGTTTTGGGGTCTAAAATTTTTTCTTGCTTGTGCAATTAAATCAATATTGTGTGTGAAATAATCTATTATAAACCATGCCAAAATTTTTTGTAGATCGTGTTTTGTATGTTGTGAAACGTCGTCTTTCGTGAAATTTTCTTTAATGATGTTCAAATAACTAGAGAGTAGTGTGATTTCATGTCGTACTCTTAAATGTTTAGATGTTTCTGTCGGTGAGACATTTGTTATAGGGATTTCGTTTTCTAATATCGAAATATAACTATATATTATTGCGAAAACTTCATTGGTGAATATGGAGTTTGCTCTTTGTGAGTTATGATATTGGATGCTTTTTATATATTCTGAAAAAACTTTTGAAAATTCTAAATTAAGATCGTCTGTTTGAATTGTATATTTTCTATTATTATGGTTTGGTGAGGTGAATTCTATGGAGTAGATTCCATACTGTTGTGTTATGTTGCATATATCTTTTAAGTAGTGGTCTATGATTTGTCTTTTGATTTTTACATCTGGGAACTCTGTTTTACATGGACTTATTCCGGGTTCAAATAAATTTACGAGTAAATTTTGACAAAATATGTGTTGTCCTCTATCAGTATCTGCGTCTACTATAAAAGGAAAGATTTCATCATCATCTGGACTTTCTTCACCTGGGGTGTGCGTTGAGCTCATTTTTTCGTTCGATGACTGTTAATATGTAATTATTAATGTGTCGAATTGGTTGATTCCAATTGTATAAATGTACTGGTTTGTGTTTATACTGCTTTTTTATTCTTCTTTTTCCTCTTTTTGATGAATTTGAAGTTGTTTCTGAGTCAGAAAAATATAATTGATCGTGAAGTGGGTAATTTTTATCTATTGATTCTTTTAGTTTGTAAAGTTCGTCTAAACTGTTGGTTTCTGATTCTGAAAATGCGTTTCGATTTTTTGAAAATCTTTTTCGTGTTATTTGTCTTTGTTTCGTTATTATTTTTCTTTTTAGTGTTTGTCGTTTTGTTCGAATGTATCCAACTGTTTGTGTATGAGGTGTGATTACAAGGTCGAATTTTTTGTTATCTATTTCACAATTGTGTAAAACGATTGTTTGTTTATTTCCTAGGTTTTTAAATGACATAAGGTTTAGGATGACGGATGCAAAAGGTTGTTAAATGGTTTCTATTTTCTTAAACTGTTAGTTCTTACGATTTTTTGGTTAGCTTAACCTGGGTCTGTTTGTTCAGGGTTGGAGAGAAAAGTATATCGATTCCGAAGAATGATTTTTTACTTTCTCGTGGCTAGTATAAGTTAAGGTGTTAACTTACTTAATCTTACTTAGGGGTAGTGATTGTGTTCAAGGGTTGGAGAATAGTAAATCGATCCACAAGGTTCAGGTATAATTAGAACGCGAGTAGTTCGTTAGGTACTATTTTAAACTTACTAAGTCTAAGATTTATCCTGGGTCTGGTAAGAGGGGGGGGGGGTCAAGTGAAGGATGAATAACCGAAGTTCTTCACTTTTTATCCTAATTTGAATGATTAGTTTTGTTTAAAAATTTCTATTAGTCTTGGGTCTTTAGAAAGGGTTGGGTAGTGAATCGACGTTTGAGGTCGTTAGACACTAATTAAGTGGGTGGGGGAGAACAAAGTTGTTCTGTTTGATCCAAGGATAAGCCTTGATGATCAAATTTGAAATTTAATTAAGTAGAAAATGATTTAAGATCCAAGGATAAGCCTTGATGATCTGGTTTTAAAATTAAGTGAATTTAAGTTTTAATAAAATTTTAAATGTGTGTAAAGGAAAGATTTAGTGTTTTGATGATATTAGTGAGTTTATGATTGCTGTTATGTTTTAGGTGATGGAGCTGGAACAACAGGATGATTTATGATTATTAACCATTTATTGTCATGCTACTAATTTTTATTTTTTATTTTTCAATAAATATTTTTCAAACATGTTTTGTATATTACTGCAGAATTTTAGGAAAACGATCTTAGATCTTTTTATCAATCGTTATTGTATATTAATAATTTTGTTTAGCGCCTGAAATGATTTTGAAGATTAACTTCAAGGTTTTATGTTTGCAAATGAAAATCTAAATTCATTGCCAGTAGTATTCTAAATATAAAAGTTTGTTCTGGTTTTTGCCTAACTATCATATAGCTATATGGCAAGTTTCTACTTTGTCGTATGTCGTCTCTGGTTCGAGGTCTTCTTCCAATTCCGGGTAGTTCTGTTATGGTTCGGAATATTGGCTCTGATCTATTGAGTCGTAGAGACATTTCGATTAAATTATTGTCGTATAACATTTTGTAAATGTTTTTGTCTAATTTCTAATCTATTTTGGTTAATTCTAAGCTATTAAGGTCTTGTTCGAGACTTATGGTCGCACCAGATGAGTTAGGACCGAGGTGGTTAACTCATAGAGTAATTTCGGATAGGGTACACCGTCTGCTCGTCACGCTATCTTATTTTCGGCCGGATAGATTCGTGCAACTTCTTAGTCTAATACCGATCCTAATCTTACTCTTATACTATCTAGTCTCAGGTTGTTTAACTAGTCTCTGCTAGGCTCAATAGATCTAGGGTATACTGGTTTATTGCGGCTGCTGAAGTGCTCGGGAGAGTCCAACTAATTTCTAAGTTAAATTCAAATCTCTCTGGTGCTGAAATTACAAGTAACTTCAGCACTTACAAATAAGTGGGTTGTTAGTTAGATGGATCATGATTGGTTAATATTAAATACTTTACATTGGTAAAACATTTAATTTATCCAATCATAAAATATAGTTTAGATCAGGTTCCAACTGCTTTTCCTGATTTAGAAATTCTGCTACAATTTGTTAAGAAGTACAGTGCTAATTTAAATTATTCGGACACATCGGATTAAAATTGAAACTTAAAACGTGTTTTTCTTAACTTGAGTTGACGTTGAATTTATGTTCAAAAAGATGGCAACATATCTTGCAAATATCAGCAGAATTAATATGATGAAATTTGTTTTGCGAAATTTGTGCACTTCATTTTATCTTAAAGCTGAATCAATTTAGGAGTTTTAGTCAATCCAAAAATACTTAAAAACTCCCTATTCAATTGTTAACATAATTAGAATAAAATGAGCCTCTTATGTAGCCCAAGAAGGGTATTATCTCAAGAAGGGTATAATCTCGAGAGCCTTGCGGAAAACGTTTGGAAATTGCTTTTAAATAAATAGATGGTGTTTTCTATGCAAAAGAAGATCTTTTTGTCTCTCTATCATAAAAAAGTTAATTTATACACTGTTCTGGAGATTAAACCCTTCTTGAAGTTTGTTAGACATTTAAAAGGCTCACTTTATTATGATTGTTAATGATCGATTTGGTAGTTTTGACATCCCTTTTGAATGACTAAAAAGCCAAAATGATTCATTTTTGGGAAAAATGTGGGGCCCGAGTTTTGAAAACACTGCGCTCTATATTAATTCTGCTGATATTTAAAGCAAGATTTATCTTCATCATTTTCTACCTACAGTCAAACTAAAATGAGAAAAAACGTTATACATATCAAGTTGAATCCGTTATGTCCGGATAACTCAAACCACCATTGTTAGTCAAAAATATTTCACTGAAATTGTATTGTTCGGACCAACATTACGAAGCCAAACTGCACAATGGCTAGGAGCACTTTCTGGTTAGTGTAGGTCTCTGGACAGGTCTTTAAACATTTTAAAATTGCGTCGGAACGATCAGAAAAAAGAAAGATCAAAGAGAGCAGAATCCGCTCAAAATTCACAAAATACACAGTTTTTTTTTATTGAGTCTGGATTATCTCAGTGTCTTAACACTTACCAAAAAATCGACAGCTTTTTGTTACTGTCAGGGTGAAAAAGACCACGTAAAATTTATGAACAGTTGCTTGTGTTTTTTCTAAGGATTCGACCCATTCGCCAACCAAAGGGTCCCCACTTTGTTATTATTTCATATTATTTCACCTTAGGCCGACCAACCCTGAAATTTTTCTAAAAGCACCTTTGGCGCCATTATATTCTAAGTTTGATGGGAACTGCGCGCCCAGAAAAAACGCTTCATTTGGTCAAAATTTTCTAAAAAGTGCCCAAAGAGTTTTTTACTGTTTTTTTTTTCAAAAATTTATCTGTGGGGCAATTTTTTTTGGTTAAAATAGGGTTTTTATAGTGTTGCGAGAAAGCTCGGATAATCAGTTTGGTCGACTTAAAAAAACGTCAACGTTTTTTTTTTTTTTTTGAAAATCCAAACCCCCTCTCCCTCGAGAAAACCCCTACATCCGCCCCTGACTGAAAAGGTCACCCATTGGTTACTATTTTACGGCATCCATTTTTCATCAAACAGCCCTTAAAACATTATCTGCCAATATGCAATAAACTGAGGGGGTAAGCGAGCCGACATTTTTGTAATTCAAAACGTTTTTTTTTTTTAATTATAGTCATTACAAAAAAAAACGTTATAGACGTCATTTTGGCCTGCTTTTCGAAATTTGGGCCGCGCTGAAGGTTTTGTCAAACTAACATCTCTATCATGTTTTGGGATAGCTCGAAAAATACGTTGTGAAGTTCCCCCGCCTAACCTTGAGAGAATGCCATGTCTGCCTGTGGATGTATTCATACAAAGGCACAAAAGGTTTCCACGTGAGGTTGGAATTGTGTTGTTCGGCAGGTGCGCAACTTCGGAGAGCGTCTGATGGATGCGAAGTCGGGTGGGAAGAGGGGGGTGGAGTTGCAGAGTGCAGTGTTCTACTCCTCCCGGTTTGGATACAAGCTGTGCCTCCTCCTCTACCCGGACGGACTGCAGTCTGCCAAGGGATCCCACCTGTCCATATTCATCAAAGTACTCCGAGGTGCTTTTGTGATTTTTTCCTTTTGATGCTATCAGAAATGCCTTTTCAGTGTTCTTTTGAGTGATTTGAAAGACATGAGGATTGCCTGTTTCTGTGCAATTGGCAGAGAATGTTCCGACCATAGATAGTCTTCAGAAAACTACGGTTTATATAGTTTTGTTTTCCAAATTAGTGTAGTTTTTTCTGCTTGGTATGATAGAAGGATCTGCGTAAAAATATAATTAGGGCATATTTGACAGTCATAGTAAAATAGGCAAATTGGACAAAAATTTTGTAGATAAATGACAAAAAAATGTTTGCCAAAATGAAACTAAAAAACTCCAAAACTAGCTTTACATGCTTTAAAAATAAAGATGCTTTAAACAAGACTGCTCGCATATCAGGGCAAAGCGCCCTGAATGTTCCGACTGTCTCTTAATTTATATCGAATATTTTTTGGGAAAAGAAACTATTGAAAACCTGTACACTTTGGACAAAATCAAAGTGTCAAATTTTGAGTCGTACGAAATTACTACGACCAATTAGCTAGCCTCAATTCACTTTGGAACGATTTTGTTATGCGGGATTATTCGCCACGCATAATTAATTTGCGTTACGCTTTCAGCGTTATGGATAAACTCTTCAAATCACACATAATTTAGTCCAGAGCATCTCGACACTGGGAAAATTTTTATGGATTTTTTTTAAATGTCATTTGAATCACGACTGAAAGGGCTTCAATATGATATATCACTCAAACCAGTCCGACTTTGTGGTACTTGATTTTATGGTACTTGATTTTGTGGTTCTGAAAACAAAAAAAAACTAAAACAGACCCGAATACAAAGTTCCTCTCCATTTTCAATAGTCGGAACAAAAATGTGTATTCAAATTTTAGATCCCCTCCCGTGACCTACGCGATTGAAGTCGAGAACGAATACGCTCGCGCAAGATAGATGGCGATCGAAATTTCGCATTCCAGCCGAAAATTTTGAGTCTCGCTACATCGCGAATTGATTTAAGATCAGTCCAATTTAAGCGCCCCCCATATATTGGAAGACACGCACCCCTACTGCTCTCCTTTTGCCATTAATTTTGGCTTTATGGTCTTAAATTGACGTGGAACATGCTTTTGACACTAAAACTACTAGTTTCCCATTTTGTTATAAAAAACCCTATTTGTTGATTATTTTCCGACATAAAAACCCTTCCCCTTAATAACTCTCAACGTCAAACTAGATTTCTAATTCCAATTGCAGGAACAGGTTGGGGGGGGGGGGTAGTATGCTGAAAAAGAAGTAGGTGGTTAGTAGTCTAGTTTAAATTTCAGGTGATTTCGACAACTATTTGCAGTGGCCTTTCCCCCACACTGTCAAAATAGCAATTCTGTCTCAAGATCAGTCGCGACAACACATCGTGCAGCGGGTCAACCACAAGTTCAATGCATTGGCAAACGAGTCAAACAGCGCAGCCTCTTCAGTGTCGTCGTCACAGCGAAACGGTAGCAATCGAATTTTGAATTCCTCCAACTTTGGAATTTTGAATTTAATTTTCAGTCCAATTTTGTGAATAAGTTAGAACTGGTATTTTTTGAGAATTTATATGAAGTCATGTAGAAATTTGGTTTCTGGCTAATTCAAGTTCAATATCATGTAAGTTTTTTTAAAATTTTGATTCCCCTAGCATGCAAATTTTACAAGTTTTGTGAATCGTCGAGAAAAAAAGAGTTTGCATGATTGGTTATTGAATGGTTATTGAAATAACCTGTATGTATGAGTTAAGCCTAAAAGCTACCCCTGTATTTACTTTCTCAGGTTTTCAACATCATTCGAAATGAACGAAACAAAATTTCCATTTTTTGCCGTACCTTAAGTCTTTCATTGATTTAATTTTTGATACAAAATATGGACGGAAATTTCTATTTTAACAATTATACCTAATTTTTTTCTGGTAGGGTCTTCGTCTACCGCGTCGTCCACAGCCACGAACGGACATGCGTCCCGGCAGCACTCGGCGTCGCCGATTGTCGGAAACTCCTCGGGTCTCATTGGACTCTCTCGATTTGTATCCCAAGAACTCATTTTGTCCAGTCAGCAATACTTGATGGATGAAACTCTCACCATTTGCGCATCTGTTATGGGCAGTGACAACAATAATAATTTCAAGCAGCCGGAAGTGTTCCCGCGAACCAGTGAAATTTGAAACAAAAAAATCAACGCAGCCAAAAATTCAACAATTGATTTTATAGCGTTACTATAACATTGATTTTTTCCAAATGATGACTATTTTAGATGATTGTAATGTTTTGATATCAATTCGAATTAAATTTGAATATTTGAAATAAAACTAAAGCTGTATGAACTTTAATGAAAAAAAAATTGAGGTTTCGCAGAGGATTTATGAAAGGCTATCATCATGCCGGTGCAAGCATAATTAATTTGTATTGTTTCCAAGTAGTAAAGTATTCTCTTAAAATATCCTTGCAAAACGAATGAAGTTGGAAATTTAAAACGCGATTTCTAAGCAAATTTTGTTTTATTATCATTATTTTTTTTCACCTAAGGTTATTCCAGTTTGAGAAAAATGCGTTTTATACTTCAAATTTTATGCCTTTCATCCTGATAATTTAAATCGAAATAACTTAGATGAATGTTGGTTTTCCGCTATTTTTTTGGCAAGCTAATTTTTTCTATCGAGAAGAGCGCCAGTAAGTCGGAAAAAAACATTCCGTAAAAAAAATGAAGTTTTCACTCCCAAAAGTTCCTTGCACTTAACAAAAATTTTCAAAATTCAAATCCCTGTTCTCTAAGAGACAAAGTGCACATCTTAGAAACCAAAACCATCTCCCAATCAAACCTTAGGATAAACAAACAAAAACTATTCGATGCCTAGTGAGTTTTATCCTTTTGGTTATAACTCATAGAGTAACTTCAGATAGGGTACACCGTCTGCTCATCATGCTATCTTATTTTCGGCCGGATAGATTCGTCCAACTTCTTAGTCTAATACCGATCTTAATCTTAATCTTACATCTCCTAGTCTCATTAGATCTACTGTGCACCGGTTTACGCGAGTTAGTTCCAGAATGAGAACAACTGTATTCTAAGTTTAATCCAAATTGTTTTGATGTTGAAACTACAAGAAGTTTCAACACTTACAAATAAGTGGGTTGTTAGTTTGATGGAGTATGATTGGTTAGTTTTAAATATTTTATAGAGATAAAATATCATATTAATAACCAATGATAAATACCAGTTGAGATCTGGTTCCACCCATCCGGGGTTTAGAGAGTTTTAGTTTTTCAATGTTCACATTGTAGTGGATGATGGATGGTGGTGTTTTTCTTTAGGGGTTGCGAGCATATTCTTTTTTCTGGCTTGGAAGAAGAGATGTATCACGGCAGTTTCGGGAGATCGTGTTCGGGGTTCTCATCGATTGTGATGAGTGTTGATCTGGTTGATAGGAACATTGCTATTTTCAATCTCGTCTGGGAATGGCATGTAGTTCGACTTTGGCTGCAGTGCGTGGTGACTTGGATCTGTACGTATACTTAAACATCGAGGTGGCCATTGTTCTGTTGCAATAGATTTCTTTTGCTGCGATGCCAAGTCGTGCTTTAAATCAATTGAATGTAGTGACTGTAGGCAGCATATCGGGTGTATTTTGCCATTCCGTAGTTGGAGTGTGATTGGGTTGTCAAATTCCTTGCTGCTCGTCTTTGGGTTGTATTTAATCTATGTACTGCATTGTATTATTTACATATACAAATCTTTGTTAATTTTGTTTTTAGTTATGGCCTTGTATTAATTTTTTATCGCAAAAGCGTTCTTGTTTTAGTTCGGTTATTTTTAAGAGAAAAATTTATTCAGTTCTAAGCTTGTTTTAATCCGGTTTGGGTACCGTGCGTTTTCTTTTCCTGGTCATGCCGTTAGGTTGTGGTTTGTGGTGTTTAGTAAGCTTGCGTTGGTTAGTTCGGATTATTATATAATTCCTTTCCAACCGGGTTAAAGGAAAGTTTGAAATGTGTTAAAACTGGTTCGAGTTATTATCAGCGAAAGTTAAAAGTTAAATTTATTATTGTAAACAATTCTGCGTGGACGAGCTGTGCGATTGTGGATAGGATTGTGGCCGAGTGAATATTTAAAACTACAAAATAGCGTCTTTGAAAAGGTTAGTACTGCTTTATTTTTATAGACAATTTTTATTAATTTACTACTTTAAAATTAATAATTTTACGGCTTTATTTAGTGGGATGAAATTATCAATTTATTTCAATAATTTTAAGAATATTTACTGCATATGGGAAAATAGTTAATATATCAATTTACTGCTGTTTTGGGGTAAAATTTACTGCTTCATTTATTGTAATTGGTTAATCTAAATTTATGAATCTAGAAAAAAGTTTTCTGTTTTTTGTTTCCTTTTTTTGTAGATGATTGGTGATTGTGCCTGTGAAGACTAAAGAAAAAGAGAAAAAATTTATTAAGAAAGGTTAGTTTTGTTTCGAATTTATTAGAATAGTTTATTTAATTCGTACTTACCTTATTCGTCGGGGAAGAATCCATGGGGAAAAACGTCGTGGATTATTTCTGATGATGTTATTAGTTTAGCTAGCAAGAGAATGATGTATTTAGTTTGAAGAAGTGGCCAAAGCAATTCGAGTGTGGTCGGGTTATTTTTGGGGTTTTTTGACAAGTATGTTGGGTTGAAGCAATTTTTGGTTAGGGGAAGTTTGGAGTGCTCTTAAGGGACGTCCTAGTTTTAATTTTATTTTTTGGATGATCGGGGGTATTTGAGAGTTATTTGTACTTTAGGCTAAATGATCATAACGATTTTGTTCTTTAGGCTAATTTGATATTTTTGCTTGAGGGTATTTCGAGGTCTAAGCTGGGACAATACTGTTGATTTTTTTTCTAGTTGATAGGGGAGGGTCGTATTATTGAGGTTTTGTTTATTTCAGTTGTCAAATTTGAGCGGGTTGCTTATTTTTGTCCTGGAGGTCTTAAAGTTATAGTTAGAGATACGCTTGAAGGTGATTGTTTGTCGGCTAAAGAAGTCGTTCCAAAAATAAGGTGATGATTCGGTAAGGTTCTTATTAGCTTAAATTGAAGTAGTTTGTTCAAGTGCTTTCCAGCATGAATTTTGAGAAAATGTTCGGTCCATGAAAATATCTTCAAGAGGTAAAAATGTTAATTAATTTAAAGTGGTTTTTGAAATTCAATTATCTTTAGATTGCGGTGTGATTGTTTTGTAATCTTTTCGTGGCTGATTACGAAGTCGCGATGATTGTCTATGTGGAGATTTTTCTTTTTGATCTTGTGGTTTAATTTTTTCTTCTAATTTTTGATTTTTTTTTCTGGTTGAGTGATTTTTTCTGTTGTCTAATTTTTTGATATTTATTCGGGATGTTCTTTGTCCTTTTAATCTAATTGTTTTTGGATGGGGTACATATCAGTGCTTTGCTTTTGATGTTGTTCTGAGCTATTTTGAATAACTTTAAGTCCTGTAAAAGAGGATAATTGATTAAGTTCTCGAAGGGCGTACTCTTTCGATGTTGAAAAATTAATTCGATGTTGAACGATTTCTTTTTTGTTTAAATTTGATTGTTTGAATTTTAGATCAGTGGGTTTATCAATTATTTGATACGGTCCTTTTTGGAGCAGTTGTAATTTTTTAGACATTCCTCTTGAGTTGTAAAATTTGGAATTAAAATATATGTTCCGATTTTTAAATTTGTAGCTGGGGTAAATCGGGAATTTATTTGGGAATTAATATTTTGTCCTTGTAATGATTTTTTTTGTTACATTCTGGTAAACTTTGCTGAGTTTTTGTCTCGGTTTAAAATCCATTCGGTGTGTGTACCGGAAAGCTAATTTTAAAATTTGTGGATGATGAAAGTGATCTTCATCGTGGGTATGTAGTGGTAGATTATAACATAATGATTCTTTAGTGGGTTGACAATAACCTTGTGTGTTTTTGTTTAATTGGCATGTTAAGCAATCCTTGCATTATAATAAATAGGTGTCCATATATTCATTGGAGGTTGCAATGCGTGTTTATCGGGGTTTAAAGTATTGCTACGCTCAAACTCTGTTAGTATACAAATTTTTTTTTTCACTTTGCATTTTCTTTGTTTTTCATTATATCGAAACCTTAAAATACTTCTCCCTAGCGCAATTTAAAAAGTATTTATCTAATTTTTTTCCTAGTCATAGCCATAAGTCATCTCATCTCTAGAGCCCAACGTTCTTGAAACTTTCATTTTTTGACCCTAGTTTTGAAAAAATTGGAAAAATTTGCCCAAATTCCTTTTGTTTTTTGGTGGAGTTCAGAGGTTTGGGTTGGGACGCGAAGGTTTCTCATGTTGATGTTCTGAGGCTGCTTTTTTAAAGTAATCTGAGTCTTATAGGCTAGATCTTGCGTCTCGCAAATTGAGTTTTCACGATTTTTCTAAATTTGAGAAATTTTTGGCCTGTTTTTCGAGGGTTTTTCGTGCAATTTCTGTCTTAAGCTTTATTTTTTTGTGCTGAAAATGGTGTCAAACATTTACGGATAACCATTGTCGGAGTGTCTGTAATTTAATTTGTGTCACCTTTTAACTTCAGTTTTTTGTGGTACTTGCGTTTCTTCGTTTTGAAAATCGTTTCCTAATAATTTGTTTTTTGTTTGTTAATATTTTTTTTCTTAGTGTTTGTCTTTTTTTTATTCTTATGTATCCTATTGTTTGTCTGTGTGGTGTGGTTACGTGGTCGTCTTTTTCGTCGTTAAGTAATCAATTGTGTTATGATTGTTTGTTTGTTTCCTAAATTGTCTCTTGACATAAGGTTTAGGATGATGGATGCAATATTTGGGTTAATGATTTCTAATGTCTTAAACTGTTAGTTCTTACAATTTTTTGTGGTTAGCTTAACTTGGGTCGTATTTTTGGGTGGGAGAAAAAAGCGTATATTGTTTACTGAGAATGATTTTTTCTTTCTCGTGACTAATTCTAAGCTAACCTAATCTTACTTAGGGGTTGTGATTTGTGATCAAGGGTTGGAGAATAGTAAATCGATCCATAAGGTTCAAGTATAACTAGAACGCAAGTAGTTCGTTAGATACTCTTTTATGACTAAGTAAGTTTAAGTACTATCCTGGGTCAGTTAAGAGGGGGGATCAAGTGAAGGATGAGTATACAGTTTATCCTAATTAGAATGGTTAGTTCCTGAAAAATTTCTGTTAATTCTGGGCCTTTAATAAGGGTTGGGTAGTGAATAGACATTTGAGGTCGATAGACACTAATTTAATTTGGG